GCTGGTTTTAAGCTGAAGTGTCTTGAGTTGCAAAGAAAAGGTGGTTGTGGCTGTGGCTGTGGCCCAGACCCGATTTCCAGGCGTGAGCTCTAACGGAGCGCGCCTGCGTGAGGGGGGAGTGCTGTAGCTCACTTTGGCTCTGGGTTTTTTTCCCCCTCTCAACTTATTTTGTTGATTATTGACCATTTATGCAGCTTTTTCTGCAAACTTCCCTACCAAGCTAGCTGCTGCTGAAGAGTTGTGCAGGTGTTTAGGTTGTTTCTGTCCTTGATGGCACTTCTGAAGGCTTCTACCTTTGATACACGACATGTGCCAGTGCTCCGCGTTCATCTGGGCACTCGCTAGGATCCTTAATGCTCGGATGCTCTTGTGGGTACAGAGTGAAGATGTTGATACCGGCCTTTACGGGCAAGTCTCTGCAGGCTGGTGACAACTGAGCCTGCTGGGTGCCTGCGAAGTGCGAGCCACGGGCGGGTGGGAGCCCTCGGTAGCTGTCAGATGTGGATCCTTCCCTGCTTGGTGGGCTCTTTTCCCCGAAGGTAGCCATGGGAACACAAAGTCTCTCGTGCAAGCAAGCAGTCACAGCATGAAGCCATCTCATGTGGCTGCCTGAGCACAGCAAAGGTTGGAAATCAGCATTTCTAAGAGCTTTTATTTTTAAACCATCAGGTTTCTGAGTCATTTGTCTTCAGTTTGCCTGTAAATGACCGACAAACCTCCAGCTCTCTGCTGGCCTCCGACAGAGGGCTCTTCTTGTTTCACAGGTCTGCAATTTCAGTTTTCAAAGGAAAAATGCCTTCAAACTGTGGTCCAGCTGTTAGGAGGCCGAGCGCAACTGAAAGGTGCTGCACCCCGAGGAACCCAGGTAAGGTCTCTGAGGCAGGTTCACCTCTAAAACGAGGATGACTCCAGAGGTGGTGAGGCTGAAGTCCTTGAGATTGTGGCCGTGCCCTCTGTGGTTGTGTAGCCCGATACGTCCCATCTGTGCAAGTTTAAATGGGTGAAAGATGCACGTCCCCAGGTGTCTGCGTGTACTCCTCCAACTTGCTCAATTCTTTCCCTTTTCCCCAGGGAAACGCTGATGTTTTTGAGAGTACTGAAGCCAAACTACCGAGCCCAGACCAGTAGTGGGAGATGTTGTAAAAGGTCTGTAAGCGTCAGCTGGTATGAAGGAAGCATTAACAACCACCACCCAAAAACTGTTCCTGCCCAGGTAGAGGTAGCCTGGCCTTGAAAACGGAGGGATGAGGTCATACAGCTGGTTTTTGGGGAGTTAACTACACAAGCTGGGTAAAAGCTGCCTCCCAGTAATGCCTTTCTTTCCCTGGTTAGTCTGAGCAGAGTCCAAACCCTGCCATCGGCAAGGCTCGGGCTCTTTCTCACGCTGACAAAATGTGTCAATTCCCCTGAAACCGGCCGAGGCGAGCTGTGGGGAGCAGGCTGGCTTGTTGCTGGATGCTCTGGGGTTTGTTGGGATTTTGTGTTTGGTGGTTTTTTGGTTTGGTTTTTAAGCATGAAGAGAAATGCTCCCTTGGACTTCCTGAAGCCCGGGGAGCTCTTTCTGGCTGGCAAAAAGCAGAGTGCATCTCCAGCAAGGACGGCTCCTGTGCTGGGGGTGTGCGTCCAGGGGTGAGCGTCACTGCTGCGGGGCCTTGGGCAGCACAAGTTCTGTTTATTCCTGACATCTTTTGTTTCCCTCTAAACAAAGTCTCTGCTTCCTATGGCACAAAATGTGTGCTTTACTGTCCTGAACTCAGCTGTCAGCAGTGGCCTCTGCATCTCTTCAGGTGCTGGTTTGGTGGGGAAAATGGGAGTTTGTGTCTCTTTCTTTTTCCCTTTTTTTTTTCTTTGGTTCTACACCACACATAGACACTTTATAAAATGCATGAAAATCTTACTTTCCTTAAAAGCTGAGGCCAAGGTTACGCAACGCTTCCATGAATTCCCTGATGTTCCATTTAAATGCAAAAGAGCAACCAGCCTGCGTTAGGCAACGTGCATTGAGCGCTACAAGCTGCGCAGCTGTGCAAGTCTGCTGTGGTAGCACCCCTGCCCGCCAGCTTCCAAAGCGGGAAAAAGCAATCGCTGTAGCACGGCGCGAGTGGCACTGGTGCAGCCTGTGGTTGATACCAAAGGTTCTCTCCTCGTGCACCTGGAGCAGGGACCTCCAATGGTGGAGTATTTTCTCTTGCCTTCCTTCGCTCACGTCATCTGCTCAGGAGGCTCTGTGAGGTTGTTGCTGACAGAGCTCAGTTTTCCTTGAGAGCTTTCCTGTCACTTTTAAGTTACCTGAAGTCCTGCTGGAAAAATTGTACATTAATCCAAGTCTTGAGCAGGCTTTAATCTTGCTCAGTTTCGTCTTAAACAAGTGTGACATTTTGAGGGCATACAGTATTTTTCTGATGCAGCTGCATGTGATACTACGTGTGGTTTCATACCGTGTGTGCTATGGAGAAAGCTCAAAAGCTTTGGCTAGGAGAAATACTCTGTTTATCAAAGAAAATTCTGAAAAAAATGCTGAACCAGGTCTGCACCCCATGAGTGGTTAGGATCCCTGGGTATAACTGTGTGGCTGCTCTTAGGCGTAATGAAATCCAATGTGGGACACCAAATCTGTTGCCCAGAGAAGGCAACGCGTGACATCCCCCTGCACAACCTCTGATGAACAGTTTTCTGCGTACGCTTGGCAGCGGTGCCTCTGCGGGCAGCACAGCCAGGGACTTCAGTCTCTTGCCAAGGTCCCTGGATGTGATCCAAGATGCCATTTAAAAAGGAAATATGTTGTCTTGATTCTAAAAATGGCCTGTGTTATCTGCCCTTCCAAAGGGATCTGGGAGGGATTTTTCTTGCTTGGGTTCAGACCTGAAGACAATAGCTAAGCCCCCCACCCCACCGTCTGATTTCTGGTGCGTAGGAAGGGAGGATCTTCGAGTTTTTTACTGATCAGACTAAAAGATCTCCATGCCAATCTACTGATGTTTCTGATGTTTTCTTAAAACCTGGATTTCACCATAAATCAAATCTAGCCAACCCTAAAGCCTAAACCAGCCAGTTCTGTTACTGTTTTCTCGCTATTCGTGTCCTGAAGCGTTAGCTCTCAGAGGAGTCTCTTCCTGCAGCAGCAGTCAAACAGGGCTCTAGCAGTCTCGGGCTGGATCAGTGGATGGCAGCTGCTGCATCTGCCAAGAACACTGATGTGTGTATGGGCTCACAGCCATTATTTACCTAAAACAGTTAGAAATGACAAGTGTATGTGTAAAAGTTATGAAACTTCTTTTTTACCTGTTTTCCATACGCCAGTCTCTTCGCTTTCTCTCCCGTTCCCTGCTCCCCGGCTGGTACGGCTGCAGACCATGTGGAGGGTTTGTGTGTGTGTGTGCGTATGTTTGAGTAGAAAAGAACAGGGAGCAGACCCTGCTCTCGTCAGAAGAGGGTCTCTGCCATAGCATGGACAGGAGCAGCTGCCAGCTCCCTTACGAATGCTGTTCTTCCATTATTGGGGCTTATACAAAAAGAATGAGGTAGTAAAGGTAGGTCTGGTACTTACACATCCTTGATCAAGTCTCAATGCTGGTGCACAGCTGTTAGGAAACTCCAGGATAATAATACATAAGATCACATGGTTTAAAATAGTATAATTTTCGTTTTGCTTGGGTCGAAGCTCGTTGCTATGATGCTGCAAGTATTTCAGTATTTTGTGGTCTTGGGAAACCATGGAGACTGTCTTTATTCCCTGATTTTTGTTCAGGTGATGATACTGTATTAGTTGATTTCTGTTTTTCCATTGACCTCTGAAGTTGTCTGGGAACCTTGAAAACAAAAAAAAAGAACAAGTATAAATGGAAGGCATAACTCCTCTGAGAATCTGTATCTCCTGCAGGAGCCAACACTGGTGTGCCCAGGCTGTCCTCTGGGGGCTTTACGGGGTGGATTCTGCAGATGGTTCAATCCCACAAATACGTTGTCACCAGGAATACATAGGAACACCAGGCTGCTTGCGATGGCTCACCACCCAGGCTCTCGAGCAACCAGCAATCCCAAACCCTTGCTATGCTCATTACATTTCAATTGCACTAATTTTTAGTATTCCATGCACTTTGTGTCTCTGGTGCATTTATCTACGTGAGAGTTGGTTGGGTGGCGTTTTCCCCGTGCTTACAGGGGAGCAGACCAGCGGAGGAGGATCGCCTGGAGCCGCGCAGCCGGCAGGATAGTGCGGGACTCCTACTCAGCCTCCCAGATCACGCTGTCTAGCTAGCTCTTGTTTTTTGACTTTTAGTTTACCAATTTGGATTTTAAGTTCTCCTTCAGAGCTGTTACATACCAGATTGGACTTTTTTAGAGGTAAATAGAGTGACTGGGGAGAAAAGAGATGAAAAGCAAGATGGTTATGAGCACATGAGAACTCCCACAGGACATGTGATTGCATTTTAGCAGCTTGAAAATAGGCTTATGTGGGACAAACTCTCCTTCTGCAGGCAGACTGTGGCACCTGTTTGTGGCAAAGCCGATCCGTCAGCAATTGCTTCTAACGTCCCTTTTTCATCCCGCCTTTGGGGTTTGCATACGCCGGAGTTCTGGCTGGGGTAACCAGGCTGCCAGTGACTCTGGGCTACAGGTTGGTCTGCATTTTTGCTGGAGAAGACCAGCGCGTGTGGCTTTGCTAGGGTGGGCCCAAAGGCAAGCCACAACTATGTTTTGAGCATCCAGATTGCTATGTAAAGACACGCTAATTAACGCCAGCTGACGTGGGGCAACAAAGGGATGTCTTCTCCTTCCTTAATACTGCCTTACAGCAGCTTCTCTTGCTGTTCTTTTTCCTACTGTCATGTCTCTTCTGAGACAGCAGTTCAACGTGCCCAAGTCCTCTGGCTCCACCACCGATCACGTCTTCACCTGCTCATCCTTTTGCAATAAAACCAAGTGTAGATGGCTCTACTCGAGCAGGAAAATGCTTCTCCTGCGCGGTGCCACTGTGACCTCGGCTATGCGATTATCTCTCATCTGTCATTCTTGCTGCAGGGCGGTGACTTGGCAGGGGTGTTGGTAGTGACTGTCTCTGTGACCTGGGTGTTCCTGCAGGTCTCACCTCTGTGGAGATCCCAACTGTTCTGAAGCTGCTTCGGTTTCTTTTCTTTGAGTCCTGGAACTGAATCTGGGTTTTCTGAAGGACAGCATAATTGCTTTAAAAAAAAGAAAAAAAAAAAAGAAAGAGAAAACACTTTTAAAGATATTTATATGAGCAAACAGCACACATTGACTCATGCTTGGGCAATAACTCTTGCTTAACCATGGTCCTGTTGGGTGGCAGCAGCAGCGAGCTGAGAAATGACTGTACTGTCTGCGCAAACCCTCGCTCTGCAAAGTGTTTGTTCCTGGCAGCTGAGATCTGCGGCTCCATCCCACCCAGCAGCGAGTCCTGCCGAGTTCCCTGCGCTGACACCCAGCCCAGCCGACCCATGTGCTGACTCCCAGTGTAGCTATTTGCGCTGGCCCAGTCCAAGTGCTTTTAAACCCTGTGTTTTAAAGCAGGAACCCTTCTCGGCACGCTGGGGAGAGGACGGGCCGTTCCCAGATGCTCTGGGGAGATGCTCAGCTGGTGCTGGTGGTAGCATCCGAACAAAGGCTGAGGCATGTGTGGGACCAAGGTGCTGCCCAGCCCCGCTGCCCCCGGCCGGGGGGCGCTGCCGCTGGCGGTTTTATTTTAAAACAAACAAACAAACAAAAAAACAAACAAACAAAACAAAACAAAAAAAAAACACAAAAAAAACCCCACCAACAAACCAACCCGAACTTCCAGAGTCAGCCCAGAAGACTGATTTCTTTGCTCTCTCAGACGGAGACGTGGGGCTGATTTCTGCGCCCTTCTGCAGTGTACGGGAGCTAGCAGATTGCAAAGGAAAATGATGCTCTGTTGTAGCTCTAAGCTGAGAAGTGGATCTGGTCTGGTATTTTCAGTAAGTCTAAAAGCAGAGTTAGGACCACTGTTTAAATTCAAATGTGGTTTTGTGTTTTTTTAAATAACAATAATTTAAACAAAAAAAACCTAAAGCCCAAATGTGAGGGAAGGGGACATAGATCCCTGATTTGGAGATGACTGGAGAGCAAGGCTAGCAGACGGCTGCTCGCTATCCTCTCTCCTTTAACAAAACGCACAAAATTATCAAATTGCCACGCTGACAACCTCAATCGCTTGCTAATTGCATATTGATTCTGTATTTTTATGCTCACTCATCTAAATAATGAGACGTTTCCAAATAATCTATTTCTGTTGTGAGGAACGCGCCGGTCCCCCCCCCGGATCTGCAGCCTGTTGTTGATGCTCTAGCAGGGAGCCGACTGCTGTTCCCTTCCCACAAAGGGCAAAGATGCTTATTTTTCTCCCACTTGTCTTGCATAACAAAAGGCATTTGTCAACCGTTACATAACGGCAGAATTCATCGCTGCTTCGGTCGGCCTTGTTGGCGGGAGGCTCGTCCCCAGCGCCGGCGCGCCCGAGCCGG